CCGGGCTCGCCAGAGGTCATCGGTCAGTGCGACCAAAGCAGTCTCAGTGCTGTAGCCGGGCCTGAAACCAGATTGAAAAGGGTCCAGATAATTAGTTTCATCCAAGGATCGCAAGAGTTGGGATGTCACCACCTTCTGTTCAACCTTCCCCACAAAGGGGAGGTTGGAGACAGGACAAAAGTTCTTCAAAACAGCTGGGTCCAGGGAAGGCTTCTTGAGGAGAGGCCTCACCACCGCTTCCTTTAAAGGTTGCAGGAAAGACCCCTCCATCAAGGAGGCATTGATTATCGCCTGGAGCCAGCCTCGTGTCATCTCCCTACTGGCAGAAACCAGCCAGGAGGGGCACGGGTCCAATAAACAGGTGGCGGCATTCACTGCCCTCACGGCCTTGTCCACTTCATCAGGGGTCACAGGCTCAAACTCGCTCCAGATAACATGACTAAGACCAGCCCCCGGCAACTCGGCTGGCACTGCCCAGTCGGAGTCCAGGTCTCTCTGAATCTGAGCGATTTTGTCCGAAAGAAACTGAACAAACTCCTCAGCTCTCCCCTGCAAGGGTTCCTCCGCCTCTTCCACTTTAAGAAGGGAGCGGGTCACCCTAAACAAGGCGGCCGGGCGAGATTCTGCGGACGCAATAAGTGCGGAAAAGTGAACATGATTTGCCACCCTTATCGCCACTAAATAAGTCCTAAGATAGGCTCTTAATAGTCATCGGTCAGATTCAGAGTTACTGGCCCTCCAACGTCGCTCTAGACGTCTCTTGTGGCGCTTCATCTCCCGGAGCTCCTCAGTAAACCAAGGTGCCCTCCGGGGACCACCACCACAGAGAGGTCGCAAAGTCGCAATTCGATCCAGGGCCCCGGATGCCGCCTCATTCTAGGCAGCAACCAGGGACCCAGACAAGTTGTGGACAAGGGAGTCAGGTATTTCCCCAAGCTCCTCCTGGAACCGATCTGGGTCCATTGGGCGCCTGGGGCGGAACCACCTAGTCGGCTCCCTCTCCCTGCGATGGGGGAGTGATGCTCTGAAGTCCAGCCTCAATAGGAAATGATCTGTCCATGACAAGGGCGAGATCTCTATTCCCCTTAATTCCAGATCATGTCTCCATTGCCCCGAGAGAAACACAAGGTCGAGTGTGTGACCACCCCTATGAGTCAGATCCTGAATTACCTGGGTCAGGTCCATGGTTGCCATGGAAGCCATGAACTCTTGCGCTGCCTCTGAGCGATCGCCGAGTGATGGTAGGTTAAAGTCCCCCAGTACCATAAATCTGGGGAACTCCACCGCCAACCTGGCTACTGACTCCAGCAACGCAGACAGGGCTGTTGCAACATAGCTGGGAGGTAGGTACATCAGCAGCAAGCCCAATTGAACCCGTGAACCCAACTTCAATAGGAGGGATTCACATCCAACAACCTTCGGGGCAGGAATCCCACGAGGAATCAAGGACATCCGAGCGATGACTGCCACTCCCCCATCCCTGCCCTGATGTCGAGGCTGATGAAGCACCACAAACCCATCCGGGCACATCTCCGAGAGGGAAACACCCCCCTCAGGGCCCAGCCAGGTTTCGGTTATACATGCCAGGTCCGCCCCGCTGTCCAATATTAAATCACGGACAAGGAGGGCTTTGTTGACAACGGACCTGGCATTAAGCAACAGCAGCCTACAACTAGGGCCCTGTACTCCCCTGTCACCAGTACTACAGGATGAGCCTTTTGAGGGGCCGGAACAAGGAATCGCTCTAATATAGCGAGTCCTCGTTCCCCAAAGATGGTCTGCCCCTCGGCTCCTGCCATATCTGCCAATCCCAGTCATAACCAGGATGTTCCAACCTTCTCCCCTCCCCGGAGTACCCCCACCCTCACCAGCCTCCTCCCTTCCTGACCGGATAGCTCTCCATACAGACCAAGCCCAAGGGTAAATCCTGCCCCCCCCTACTTTTGCTATTGCACTCAGCAGAGGGGGTACCAGGCTCCGCCCCCGACTCCACCATTCTCATATCCCAAACACCCAGTACACATTCACACTGAATTTATATACATAAAAATAAAAATATTCACATTCATATGCCCTAAATACAATAATAAAATTTATACATAACAGGGCCACCATTCATCTACATACATACACATACTCACAACAAACATTCTCTAAAAAATATTGCCTCTCTGTGTCCCAGGCTGGTCCAGGCAAGTTGCTGTTACCAGAGACTGATTACCATTGGTTTAGGCAAGTCGCTGTTACCAGAGACTGACGACCATCGCTCTAGGCTAGTTGCTGTTACCAGAGACTGACTAACATTGTCTTAGGAAAGCTGCTGTCACCAAAGACTGACAACCATTGGCTTAGGCAAGTTGCTGTCACCAGAGACTGGCTACCATCGTCATAGGCAAGCTGCTACTATCATAGACTGGCTAACATCATTCTAAAAAGGTTGCTGTTATTAGGGACTGACTACTACTGTTGTACACCAGCTGCTGTTACCAGGACCTGACTACCATTGTCTCCTGTCAGTCTTACTGCCTGAGGAAAACTATCATCATCCCACGTGAGTTACATCAAAAGAGATTAACCATCACCACCCCATGGGCATGGCTGACAATTGTGACTGAACATCACCATGCTACATGCCCTCTTAGGCAGAGGTGCCAATGTGAGAGACCCCTTGGGTCGGCAGCCAACCAAAGAGGGGGCCAAGAGGGTCAAGACTATAGCGCTCCCTCCAGGGGTGGTGCTATATATACAACTAGTAAAGTATGTGGGACATCATGCTACCAATGATGAGAACAGGGGAAGTATCACTTGCAGAGTAGTCCAGAGTAACGAGTTTCTTTCTCAATTAGGGTTGCATGTGCATTATAATTTAGGCCACTTGCCCTGTCCATAGGGTTTGTTTATCTATCTATCTATCTATCTATCTATCTATCTATCTATCTATCTATCTATCTATCTATCTATCTATCTATCTATCTATCTATCTATCTACCTACCTATCTACCTACCTACCTACCTACCTACATTTCTACCTACATACTTATATACCTATCTATTATCAACATCAAGTGAATATTCAAAATTTTCTTTGGGTTTTTTCATGTTTGAAGTTCCTCCCTATATCAGAGAGGGCTGTACATGTTTTCTAGGACTTGTGCTGAATTTTAGGTGATTTTCTTGAAAAATGCCACACTTCTTATTGTAAACCCATTCAAATCACTCTTTGTTATGGTCATTGGTCAGCATACACATTGAAGGAAGGATGAGACAGAAGGAAGAATACATTTCATTTCACTACATTTCCCATATTATTAATATATGATAACAGGTTGCTCTGGAAATGGATTTATTGATAGAATGAATGGTTATGAATCAGCATGAACACCTATTTCAAAATGCAGTTAAATGTACAGGATTCACAAACTCAATACATTCTACATTTCAAGAGCCCTAAAATATTCAAACCTGCTATCATATAATATTATGCTCAATACACATTAATAAAATGACAAAAACAGTTCTTACTATATTTATGTAGTGCTTTATTCTTTTTTGTCACTAATTTCTCTGGGCAAGAAAGATCACATGTTATACTAATTTCTCTTTGTGAGTTGCTCCCTGTGGTTGATGTCAGCCCAGCAAACAATGATGTAGATTTTGGCAAAAATATGCATCCCAGTAATGCAGAACTGAAGGACAAGACAGAGAAGACCTCCACAGCTACCATGGTGTTTCCTTTTGTGCTCAGGGAGACTAGAAAGAAGGAGATCCAAACACTGCAAAAGACCAACATGCTGAAGGTGATGAACTTGGCTTCATCAAAGCTGTCAGGTAATTCATGGGCAACAAAAGCCACCATAAAGCTGGCAAGAGCTAAGATATACATGTAGCCCCAGTCACACATCCCAGTAATGCAGCACTGAAGGACAAGACAGAGAAGACCTCCACAGCTACCATGGCGTTTCCTTTTGTGCTCAGGGAGACTGGAAAGAAGGAGATCCAAACACTGCAAAAGACCAACATGCTGAAGGTGATGAACTTGGCTTCATCAAAGCTGTCAGGTAATTTATGGACAGCAAAAGCCACCATAAAGCTGGCAAGAGCTATGATATACATGTAGCCCAAGTCATAATATCTAAGTATATTTCATTGATCCATTGATTTAGTCACTTTATTGAAGAATGAAATAAGATTTGTTTGGCATGACCTCTTTTTGATGAATCAATGCTGCTTGAGCAAGGGAATGAACTAGAAGACTTAAAAAGTCCCTTCCAATTCTGTTATTCTCTTATTCTGCTACAGGTTATAACCTTGTTTGTTTCAAGGTTTTGTAAGATTTGTTGCTTGATTATCTTTTTCCAAGATCTTTCCAGGTATTGATGTCAGGCTGATTGATCTATAATTTCATGGATCTATTTTTTTTTCTCCTTTTTTGATTAAGGACATCAAAATCTCCTTAATCAAAAATTAAAATAAATGAACAATGAGAGGAGAAACAAAGGTAGTGAGGGAAAATACAGATATAATAGCAATCTCAGAGGACCTAGAGAATAACCTGGCCTAGAAAGAGTGTTGAGCTTCTTTGTCTTTAAAATCACTTCCAACTCTAAGATTTAGAACAGAATTTCATAGTATGAATTTATCACTTCCCACAAGAGATGTCTGTACATAAAGTAATATCCTGTTTTTAACTTTTGAATTATAGAGAAACCCAAATGGAAAAGGCCCAAATATCAGGCTCTTTCCCTGAAATTCTACTAAAAACAATCTTTGATTTTGTGAAGGGGTGAAAATTGCATGTAAATGTCTTCATTTCTATCATCAATAGATCAGCAACAGAAAATAGCTCTAACTACTTTAATAGGTACTTCAGTTCATTTTTCTATTTCATTAAAATGTAAAATCAGGTTACCTAAATGAAATCCTTACGTAATTATGGTCACTAGGACTTCCTATTCTTGTTTGTTAGGAATTTCTCCTAGTGAGAAAAGTCACAAGTTATACTAATTTCTCTTTGTGAGATGCTCCCTTTGGTTTAGTTCAGGCCGGAAAACAATGATGTAGCATTTTGGCAAGAATATGCATCCCAGTAATGCAGCACTGGAGGACAAGATGGAGAAGATCTCCACAGCTACCATGGCTTTTCCCTTTGTACTCAGATAGGTTGGAAAGAAGGAGATCCACACACTGCAAAAGGCCAACATGCTGAAGGTGATGAACTTGGCTTCATTAAAGCTGTCAGGTAATTTACGGGCAAGAAAAGCTACAATAAAGCTGGCAATGGCCAAGACACCCATATAGCCCAATACACAATAAAAGAAGAAAGCTGACCCCTCATTGCATTGTAAAATAATTTCTTGGAGCTGTAAATGCATGTCCAACTCAGGGAATGGTGGAGATGTTGACAACCAAAGAATACAAATACATACTTGGAAAAAGGAGCAGGAAAGGACAGTAGAAAAAGCCAATTTTTTTTCTAACCATCTTCTCATTTGAGATCCCGGTTTAGTGGCCATGAAAGCAACAACCACAATGATGGTTTTGGACAGCACACTAGAAATAGCCACTGAGAATGTGGTTCCAAAAGTTGATTGTCGGAGAAGGCAGGTCACTTTACCAGGTTGGCTGAGGAAAAACAAAGAAGAAAGAAAACAGAGCTGAAGAGAAACAAGCAGGGTGTAGGTGAGGGACTGGTTGTTGGCTTTGACAATGGGAGTGTCCCTGTGCTTAATAAAAGTTGCAAGGACCCAAGATGTCAAGAAAAAGAAACCAAGAGCTGATGAGGCTAAACCAATTCCTAAGGGTTCTTCAATAGTTAGAAACACCACCCGTTTCAGGATACATCCACTCTTTTCTTTATTTGGATAATGATCTTCTGGACATTCAAAACAGTCATCCATATCTGGGAGGAAAGTCAAAGAAATTTGTTATCTAGGCATTCCAAATCAATGAAACTCATTTTATTAATTGTATGCATCGTAAACTTGTATATACAAGTTTGCTTAAGTCTAATGAAAAATGGTAGAATTCCTACCATACCATTTTGATTTGAAATCTTCCCTTGTGGGCATGGAACACAGTCATAGCAGCAGAACTGATCCCCTTCAATCCCTTTCTTCCAGTCCCCAGGAAAACAAGGGTCATTGCATCGAGAAAATGGAAGAACCTTACCATAAACAAACAAACAAAAAATATTTTAAAAAGGAGGGTTTTTAAAACAGTTTCTGATTTTTCTGATTTCAGATGGAAATGCACACCAAATATGCAACCATGGTGTTTACATTGTAATATCACCTTTTTCAATCTGACAAGTCATTGATCATCAACAACATTTGAAGGAATATGCCATTGTTTATTTAAAAAAATCCCAGAAATTAGATTTTTAAAAAGATGTGTTCAGTATGGGATCCTAATTGACTAAGGCATGGTGGATTCATTAATTCGATACCTGGTTAAAAGCTGGACTCCAGACAATCAAATCTTTATCTATGGATAATTCCTTCCCTTTTGGAGCTTGTGGATCCATCTTTCCAACTCTAACTCTCTGAAAGGATCTGTTTGGAAAAGTGATCAAATTGGTGATGTCGAATCCACCTGTTGCTTCCCCTTTCTCATTCAGAAACACTCTCTCCCCAGCTGAGTTGTTAAAAGAAATGCCTTGAAGAAATGGATGGAGCTACTTGAAAGAGAATGAAAGAGAGAGGATGTTGAGAACTATATAATAGAGAGGAGAAAATTATATTAAAGTTTCATTCAATCATTCTTCCAATTGCTATAACTACTATTAAATATATGTGCTTAGAATTTGGATAATCAATATTGCACGATAATGTACATGTCCACACTATATACCTAATTTAATATTAATATAAGGAAAGGAAAGAATGAACTGAAGCAGAAAGTAAAAAAGATTCTGAATTTTTGTAACTTCCTTTAATTATGTTTTAGGTTCACTATTTAAACAACTAATTCAAGATAAATCATATTTAATCTTTCCTCATCGATATACAGTTATTTGACAGTCTGAGGTCTGACTAATGTCCTTTAGCCAGTTTTTAGAATCTGAGATCCAAGCATTCCTCCATAGAGAGATGCAAGATAGAGATTATTGCAAACATGTTTCATACTGTGGATGCCTCATCTAAAAAGGACCATTTTTATTTCATTCCTCTAAAACTGTGATAGAGATAGGAAGCTCAGCTTTTTACCCATGAAAAGTTCATGAGCCACAAAAGGTTTTGGGGGAATTGACTGTTTTTGGAGAAGGCAATGACAAGTAATCTAAATTATCACTTTAACTAGCTCATATTGTGCAATGTGTGGTGATTTACTAAATAAAGTCTGCTGACATATAAACCATAATTTATACAGTAACTTCTCAATGACCAGAATAATAACAGAAACTACTTTTTCTGTAGGAAAAGAACAGTATGTCAGAGTCAAAAGGGACCAGAAGGTCTTTTGATCTTATACTATTTCAGATAAATGGCAGTCCTTCTCTTAAAAATATCCAGTGTAGGAGCATGCAAAACTTCTGAAGGCAAGCTGTTCCATTAATTCATTTTTAATTGTTCTCACCAAGGAAATTCCAACTTATTTCTAAGTTGTTTTCTCAACATTGATTCCAACTGAAGAAAATATTAAGACTTTACACAATGGGTTCAAAAAATAATTCTACTTCAAATTGCTTATTGAAATACAAGAAATGTCCAATGAAAAGGGAATACCTGCCAAGCCTGGAGATGTGGAAGATCAGGATTTGTACACACCATAGTTTTTTTTCTATTGGAATGTAATGTGTATAGAGCTTGCAAAGCATGAGCCACAGCATGAACAGCATTGTAGATACTATAGCTTTGTCCAGTCATTTCCATTTCAAAGGCAGGTCCAGGAAGATCCTCTAGCTTCATCTCGCCTGTGCACTGCCTATTCTGCGTTTCTTGTAATTCTCCTTTTGGAAATGAACAATCAAATAACTGTTCCCAAACTTCCCAAAGAAACTCATCTCTGTAGACTGAAAAAGGATTTATGGTCTGAAGAAATTCCTTGAAACCTGTAACTGCTGTTGAATGAGCAGTGAATGAAATAGCCCCATGGAACATCTGGAGATCCCAACTGATTTGGAATCCTGATAATACAAAATCAATCTGCGCAGTCATGATCCATACCTTTCTAAATAATGAAATTTCCTTCCTTTCAGGATCTACCATAAATGTGACAATTCTTAGCCACATAATTGTCAATGCTTCTCCATAGACAAGAAATGCATTGGTTTTGCTATTTATCCAATTCAAAGAAATAATTGAGATTGTTTTATAAATTTCTTGGAAGTCTTCCAGGTATACTTGTGAAAGCCTTTGTATGAATGATGAGCAGATCCCACCCTTTGCAAGTAAGGGCTGCCTTTCCTGTAAGAAATTTTCTCCATTGTTGTTATCAATAGCAAAAATCCCAATCCAGGTCCAGCTGAAATGGTGAATGAGTTGGATAATCCCAATGTACTGATGGTCCTCTTTTGGGATCATGAAATAAAGTGAAGAGAGCTTACTGTTCTCAAATTCCATTTGGGCTAATGAGCCGTATGTCAGCTGCAAGAAAGTGGAGCAGTATTTTCTTCAGTTGTAAGATCAAATGGAATTGTCCTGATCTAGTTTGCATATATTATATATCGAAGGAAGAAATACTTTTTGTGAATTTCTTCTAAGTATAAATATGGCAGGAATTTCTTGGAATTACTTCAAACACATATAATTGATCAATTTTTTGACAGAAGCAAAGAAGTCTATGTTCATGTTTTTCCTCATGTAGGGAATGTCTACAGATATTCACTTGTTGTATTTGGCATTGTAATTTCAAAATTATGCTAACTAATAGACCTTAAGCCAGGCAGAACATCTTTTTACAAACCTAAGCTAATCTTAATGCCCCTTAATTATTTCATAACAACATCAAGAACAGAATATAGAACTTTTCTGTTTAACCCTTTCACCACTTACTTGTGGAATCTTGAAGAATCTTGTAATTTCAGCAATATGAGATGATGTGACAAAATCCAATCCCCCAATAATAGCCATGAGATTCTTCTGGCTATCACACTTGTAGTTAGGAACAAATTCCTGGGATTTGAAAAGGAGGTCCAGAGTGGTGCGATAGGTCATCCTTGCATTGAGGTAACTGTCATAGATGTGGAACCCGAGAGTGATGTTAGGTAACATCTGGGAGTCCTCATTGATCTCCTTCACAGCAAAGGCCAAGGCAAGGATGTGTTGATGAAATTTGGTGATTATGCTACGAATAATTTAAATCCCCCATTGAAATTTTTTTACAAGCCTTGTAAGGTGTCATCATTTCCATATAATTAAGAAACATCTTATGGTAGTAAGAAGACAATAGCTTTCCTAAAATGCTTAATAGTTTGTACATAGTTTAAATTTATTTTAAACAGCATTTCCATGATTTCCAACAAATATGTACTACAACAAATACAAGTAGTGGCCCTTTTCAAAGTAGTATATTTTCTATCACTTATTTACTGTATGTTTGTTTTAATAAGAGAGATAATGCCAAACCTTTTTTAAAAATTCTTTATGTCAGTAATTGTTCAAATAGAGACTTCTTGATTTTAAATTTTGTACATTTCATGTCAAGGACTTTGAAAAAAATCTAAAGGTTATTTTTTCTCTCACAACCAGGTACAACTCCCAAAAAGAAGACATAGATTACATCAAAAATCCTAAATGTATGAACAAAGATATTTTAGTCATATAAAGGATTTTTGAAAGTCTGGGTAATATTAGATAGAGAAAAAAATTCTTACGTTGGTATTTCATAAGGTTTTATAGAAGGGTTTTCACTAAATTTAATTTCATAAAGGTGGTAACCCATGTGAGATGCCATCACACCAATGATGAAGTCACCACGCTGATACCACTCATGTGGAACAAGGAAAGCATCACTCGCAGGACATCTCAGAGTAACTACTTTGTGCACCAAAAATATCAGAAAAAACATTTTCATGCTTTTGTTATTGTGAGAATGTTTTTCCATTCTATTGATCAGGAAGTACATATAATCCAATACTTCATCTAAAGATTGATCCAAGGCTTATCTCTGAGAATGCACCTAATGAGAAAATCAATCAGTTTTTATTTAAAGATCCACATGAGCACAAAATTGCATCTTGAACACCATCAGGATTTGAACAGATATTCTGGCAGAGGGAAACAGAGGATAGAAAGCTGAAGCAAAATATCTGACAGAGCCATTGTTACCCTTGTGCCAAACTTCCTGTGGTTCAAGTGTTACTTTATATCCAAACTGATACCTTGATCGTTGTTGAATATAGTTCCCTTCTGTGCAGCCTTTGGTGTTTTGGCCTAGTTAAGAAAACATGGTGATTCCTCTAGGAGGTAATTGTTTTGTTTTGATGAGATAATAATTGGCCAATGGTTCAACTATTTTTTTTTAAATGAGCAAATGGGAATGACAGTAATTTTTTTTTAAAAAAAGTTTCTTATTTATAAAATAGTTAGAACAAGGATGGACATAACGTAACATTCCAGTGTATATATTCCTAACAATTTGTTCCTCATCATACATATAATTCTTAATTTCTATATATACATATTTTTCTATACAATACAGTCTCTAATTTGTTTCTCTATATACTGACATACAGTTTTATATATCTCTATCTTAACACTAACTTAAAACCCAAACATTTCTCCTTGATTCACACCAACAATAGAATTTGTCCCAGATTTCAAAGTAATCTGACTCTGTCTTGTCCTTCATTTCCATTGTGAACCTATCCATATCAGCACGCGATAAGATTTTCTATAAAATCTCTTCTTCTGTTGGAATTTCTTTCTTCCTCCAGTTTTGTGCATACACCAATTTAGCATGTGTGAGAATATGTAGCATCACGTACAATATCCCTTTGTCGTATTTCTGCATAGTTATGCGTAGTAGAAAGAGTTCTGCTTTTAGCTCTACCTCTATCATTAATATTTTTCCAGCCATTTTTTAACCTTGTTCCAAAAGTTACGGGCTTTTGAGCACTCCCACCACATGTGGTAATATGTCCCTCTTGCCAATTTACATTTCCAGCACGTGGAAGAAATATTTGGACCCATTTTAGCTAATCTTGTGGGTGGGAGATGCCATCTGTAGAACATTTTGTAGAGGTTTTCTTTGTAGGAGGTAGCCAAAGTAAGCTTCCTATTTCGTACCCATAATTCTTGCCAGATATGCAGATTAAACTTGAGATAAAAATCCCTGCTCCACGTTAACATGGGTTTTTTTTTACCTGTTCTTCATACATTGCCTGATCTAACAAATAATGATATAGCTTTTTAATCATTTTATCCTCAGTACCTAGTAATATTTTATTCTGCCCTATCAGTTCTATTTTTATGCCTCACTCTTTTTTATCTTTCCAATATCTTGCCTGTAGTTGAAGGTATGCCCCCCATTCTAGTTCTATCCCTTCGATCAATGACAGTAATTTAAGGGAGATTTGTAATAAAATATATGCTTAGTTGTAGAAAGCGTTTTTTGAAGCTACCACATTGATTTTCTACCATTTTTTTCACAAAATAGAATATGAACAGATCCACCAGGTATCAGTCTTTTATTGCATGTATGTTTTGTGAGGAATAACAATGCACAATTTTTTAAAAAAAACTACCTTGAGTTGACTCAAACTCTTCAAAATATTTCTTGCACTAAAAATTTCCTACATTCTATAACGAAAACTTACCAAAATCTAAAGAATATTATTTCTTCTACCACAACTAGAAATATTTCAAAGACAGAGTGGCTTACATTAGAGATACAGAAAAACCTTTTGCTCATTTCAGCAATTTGGGGGGAGCTGGCTAAGATTACAAAAAGAAAAAAAACTCTTTACATCGCATGTCATAAAGTTTTACAGACGGATGTTCATTCAATTTCAGTTCATAAAAATGATAAACTATATTGGATGTCATGCCACCAATTAATAAATCACCACTCTGCATGGAGGTCTATAAGGGGCTGCCCTTGAAAAGTATCTGGAAGCTCCAGTTGATTCAAAGTGCAGGCCCCCGTATGGTTTTATGCACACCCAGATTATACATATGCCACCTTTCTTGTGGGAATTGCATTGGCTGCTAATTTGCTTCCGGGTACAATTCAAGGTACTAGTTGTCACCTTTAAACCCTACATGGCTTGGGACCATGTTATTTGAAGAACTGTCTCTTCCTGATCAGATCCACATGATGCACTAGAGCAAGGAGGTAGGCAATATTTAGATTGGCCCCCACTTTGACACTCTTTTGCAAAGACATGAGCATATGGTTTTGCCAATAGGTCTGTGGAACTCAGAGTAGGTTGGAACCTATGAAGTCACTCAACTGATTCACTGTAATCCACATAGGTGTGTATTTATTGCTTATATATTGGGTTTTAATTTCTTTTAAATTGCTTGCAGACACTGACTGTCAACACTACAAATGAATTTGGCTGCAGCCATTTTCATCTCGTTTTTCAGTTGCAACAGAAATGGGAAGAGGTGTGTGTATTCTTTTTGTCTAGCTAAAACATAAAATTGTTCTGTGGGAACCAAGGTCGTTGCTACCAGAGTTTTGGTGGGTAGAAGTTTCTGCTAGAAAGCCTGTCAAACTAGTGCATTGGGGAATGTGATTTATGACATAGAAATGGGATGGGAAGTTCATCTTTGTAACTTTGTATCTTTGGAGGAAGGGAAATTTAGTCTTGTTTCACCTTTGTTTATGCTGAAACTATGTAGCCATTAAAATGCTCTTTGAGGAAAGCAATTGCCTCAGAGTCCTTTTTTCTTTTCTTTTTATAAGACAAATTTTATTGGCTTTTTGATTTTTAAAACAAAGTACTCAAGACACACCGTGGTGTTAGGGTGGTCAAACATCTGCAAACAAAACATATATACATAATTCAATCAATACATCAAATATTCCCTCTCTTTTCCCCTTAAATACGTACTTTATTTAAAATAATCCAATTGTAGCTTAAATGTATTCAACTTAAACCTGTTTTTAATTCTTTATAAATTTACACTACCGTAATCAAAATAACTTTAAATACAAACATTATAAGTTCGGGTATCCCTTCCAAATATATTGTTATTCCTTAATTTTATCATAGAACTTATTTATTTCTTCTTCCACTAATATCCCTTATTTAAAATAAAATATTAATCTATCCTAAACGTATCTAATCAATCAATCAATCTCTTTAAACTGACAAAATAAAGTCCAACCTGGAGTCCTTTTTTTCTATTGGGATCATCTCTCTATTGGGCTCATAGTCTTGGTTTCACCTTTGTTCATGCCGATTTAATGGCACTATGTAGCCATTAAAAATGCTCTTTGAGGAAAGGAATTGTCTTGGAGTCCTTTTTTCTATTGGGCTCATCTATAGGAACCATGATATTGACAGTGAGTGGGAGGCCATAAAATTCTGTGAAATGAATAAATTTTATTTCACTACATTTTCCATATTATTAATATATGTGTTTTTATTGTTTATATATTGGGTTTTAATTTTTTTAAAGTATCTCAGAGACACTGACTGCCAACACTACAAAGGAATTTGGCTGCAGCCATTTTCATCTCATTTTTCGGTTGCAACAGAAATGGGAAGAGGTGTGTGTATTCTTTTTGTCTAGCTAAAACCTAAAATTGTTCTCTGGGAACCAAGGTCATTGCTATCAGAGTTTTGGCAGGTAGAAGTGTCTGCTAGAAAGCCCGCTAAATTAGTGCATTGGGGAATGTGATTTATGACATAGAAATGGTGTGGGAAGTTCATCTTTGTAACTTTGGAGGAAGGGAACTTTAGTCTTGGTTTCACCTTTGTTCATGCCGATACTATGTAGCCATTAAAATTGTGTTTGAGGAAAGCAATTGTCTCAGAGTCCTTTTTTCTATTGGGTTCATCTATCGGAACCATGACATTGACAGTGAGTGGGAGGCCATAAAATTCTGTGAAATAAATAAATAAATAAATAAATAAAACTCCATATAATGATGTTGTCATAAGGTTTTATTCAAGGATGTTCCTTAAATTGCAATTTATATGTAGCGGAGCTGGGGTGAGAATGGGGCCAGTTGAGAGGTTTTGCGGGAGCTCCAGCAACTGCTGTGGGTCTGGTGGCAGGATGTGGCTCTGAGGAGGGAAGAAAAGGGAGGAGGAAGCCGATGGGAGAGGAGAGAGAAAGAGACTGAAAAGTAGCGTTTGGCTGCACATTGAGCAGAGCTAGCTGAGCGAGGAGAGAGAAAGAGACTGGAAGGTAGTGTTTGGCTGGACATTGAGAAGAGCCAGCTGAGGAAGAGAGAGAGAGCAGCTTAATGGAACCTGCCGTCCAGAGCCAGCTGAGTGAAGAAACAGAGATAGAGTAAGAAGGTGGGATCTTTGTGTTTTTCTGCTTTGTTGCAAGCAAGCCAAATGACGAGGGGGATAGAGAGTGAGAGTAGCTTGTTGAAGTTTTTATTGTTTTTTCTTCATTGAGACAGGCCAGACAAAGAGAGGATAGGTTGGGGAGTTTTATTTCTTTTCCCTTATTGGAGCCAGCTGGTTGGAGGGAGAGTCAGGAAAGAGTTTGACAGGTTGAGGGTATTCCTTTTAGTGGGAAGTAGAGGAGTTTTTAAAGGATCAGCTTGTGGAAACAAAAAGGGGATAAGGAAGGGATGGGGGAATTACATATAGTGAGGGTAGAGAGAGACAAGGAGAGTGGATAAAGGAGGTCCCCTGTGAGTTCCAGAGAGGGACTGATTACCATCATCTTAGGTAAGTTGCTGTCACCAGATAATGACGACCATCGTTCTAGGCAAGTTGCTGTTACCAGAGACTGACTAACATTGTCTTAGGAAAGCTTCTGTCGCAGAGACGGACAACCATTGGCTTAGGCAAGTTGCTGTCACAAGAGACTGACTAACATCATGCTAAGCAGGTTGCTGTTACTAGGGACTGACTACTACTGTTGTAGTGCCCCCCAGAG